CACACACACACACACACACACACACACACACACACTAAATAAATGTAATAAATAAAAATAAATAAATAATTTAAAAAAACTAGGAAAATCTAAAAAGATGAAAGATTAGTGCTTGACAGTTATAGGACAAGAGAGTTGAGTGGGCATTATAGGAAGTAACTACTAATTGGCTTCTTTTTGGAGTGATGAAAATACTTACAAACTAGGTAATTGTGATGGCTACTAAATTCTGTGAATATGTAAAGTGTATAGAAATGCACTCTTTAAAAGCTAAATTTTATGGTATATGGGACAGATTTCAATAAAGTTGTTGATAAAAATAAACTTTTTCCAAAAAATATATGGGAGTTAATCTCCATCTTACATTAGGCAATGGTTTCTTCAATAAATGCAGCAAATGTACAAGTGACAAACTAGAAAATAGATACATAGGACTGCATCAAAATAAAACATACAATTATAAGAAAAATTAAAATATCAAATTTTTAAAACACAAATTCGTGATGTGGGGATACATATGGTTCTTTAATAACTTACTACATAACAAACTAACAATGAGTTCAAATACATATTTTAACCCACAAATATCATTTTTCTTCTGAGCCCACTTACTTAGTCATCTCGTACCTTTTAGAAAAGACAAGCACTTTCACTTTCCCCATTAGTAGCTGATTTAGATCACTAATTCACTACAATGTACTGAGAATCTCAGAAGTAAACAGTATCCTCTACTTCAGTGGTGGCAAACCTATGCCATGCGTGCTGCAGCAGGCTTTTAGCATCAGTGAAATTTCTAGAAGGTTCATCATCGCTGCTTTACTTCATAGGTTCTTAGTCATTTCAGAGACTCTTGAGAATACGAGGAAAGGACAGAAAAATGTGATAGTTACTATCACATATTTTCAATTGCTATATTGATTTCATTAATTTTATCCACAAAAATCCTGTTTTATTGGGTGCCACTGGTGAATTCCATCTGCTCATTCTTTATTATGACACTTAGCTCAGTACTGCTGTGTTATCAAAACAAAAACCTTTAGAGAATAACTAAAAGGCCAAGGGGCAAATCTTAGCATTCAAGGCAGACTGAATATGCATTAAAAAAACACTCAACACTGTAAGGCACTGCTCACCTTTTACAAATCTTGTTTGCTAGTAAGGAAAGAAATTTTCACTTTGTCCTTTTACTGTAGAGTTTTAACAGAGGATGCTATACTGTTTCCATGTTCCAACACACATTTTCTGTTGGTTCTAGAAAAAAAAAGAGTTCTCAGATATATTCAAATTCTTTTGTCAAATTTAACTCTCAAGAAAAGCTGGGTCAAATTTTGTCAGTAACCAAAACCGTACTCTTTCTGCCTCCACAAGATGATCTCTACTCATTTGTACAAATTCATTTCTTAATGCTGTTGTAACAAACTATCACATACTTGGTGACTTGAAGGAATTCAAATTTACTATTTATAGATCCTGATGTTAGAAGCATGAAATATGTCTCACTGGACTGAAATCAAGTTGCTGGCTAACTTTCTGAAGGAGTGCAGTGAAGATTCCATTTTCATGTCTGTTTCAGCCTCTAAAGACTGCCTGCATTCCTTAGATTATGGACTCATCTCCATCTTCAAAGCTAGCAATGTTACTCTGACATTGACTCACCTATCTCCTTCTCTTATAAGCAGCATTATGATTACATTCGACCCACCTGGGATAATCTCTTTATCTCAAAGTTACTCTCCTTTTCCACGCACTGCAGCATATTTACAGTTTCCAGCAATTAAAACAGGACGTCTTTAGGGGGTCATTATTCCACTCTTCATTGTAGGCATCATTTTCAAGATAAGAGTAGTGCTGGGGTTGAACCGAGAGCTTTGTGCATACTAAACATTCGCTCTGCCACTGAGCCACACCTCAGCCTTACATGCACCACCTTATTTGACATTGTTTTAAGTTAAAATTTGATGGCTATGAATCATAAATTATTGCAGTTCCTAAAACTGAGCTTGAACCACTATATACAAATGGAGAGCCCTCAAGAAATTTTTTTGAGCATTTGAAAGTAAGTTGTCATACACATTCTATTACATTATTTCCCTCAAGAATTTTAACACCAATATATTAACAATAATTAATTGCTGAAGTCCATATTCAAATTCCTTTATTGTCCCAAACATGTCCTTTACAGGTGATCAAGAATCAATTACTGCATTTGATTATTATGTCATTTTAGTTTTTTTAACCTGAGAAAATAGTCTTCATCATTTTAAAAATACAGGCCAGTTGTCTTGTATAAGTCCTCACAACTCAGACTCTGATGGTTTCTTCACAATCAAATGCAAGTAAATCATCTTTGCTGGAATACATTGGTGATGTGTCACTTCTGCCTGATACACTGTTTTGGATGATGAATGTAGAGCTGATTAAGGTGACCCCATGGGGATATCATGGGCTCCCTGGGTCTCTCCCAGCAGTTCTCAGGAGAAACCCCATTTACAGGGTTTATCTTTATGAGACCTAATTCTGAGAAGGCTGCTCCTAGGGCCTTTGTTTAAAACACAGTGGCAATTGTTTTAACAACACAGCTGCCTGAGGCAATGAACCCGTTGGGCTTTTGTCTGGGACAGAATACCTGGCACCCATAATTTAAAGGAGCAGTTTATTTTGGCTCATGTTTCAGTCCACAGTCATCTGGCAGCACCATAGGGTGGCATGGCAGAGGGATATAGTTAAAGGAAAGCTGCTCATGTTGTGGTAGTAGGAAAGCAGAAAGAGTCAAGGGTTGAGTACTGGGGAGATATATCCTTCCAAGTCATGCTTACAGTGACCTGACTTTTGCAGAACGGGGGATTGAACTCAGGCCCTTGCACTTGTCAGGGAAGTGCTTATTCCACTGAGCCATCTTGCTGGCCCCAGCTGCCCGACTTCTAATCAGACCCCACTTCCTAAGAGCAAGTCAGCCATAATGCCTTCATAATCTAATCACCTTCCAAAAGCCTGAGTGTATGAGATTCTTGGGAGACATCTAAATCTAAATCATAGTAACTGGCAAAAGGCTGATAAAAAATGTAAAGGGAAATTTGGAGAATGAGATATCCACAGATGGCCTTTCTAATCTTCCAACACAGTTCTACGGAATATATATATATATATATATATATATATATATATATATATATATATAGAGAGAGAGAGAGAGAGAGAGAGAGAGAGAGAGAGGGAGAGAGACTCGCCACACAGCTCAGATTCATAATGATTCTCCTGTGTCAGCCTCCCCAGCCCTGGTATTATAGGCATGCACCACAACACCTGGTTTCAGGGCCCACACAGCAAAGGTGCCATGGATCAAACCCACCATGATCAAACCCAGATCCTTACGCTTGCCAGGTGGGTGCTTAGACCCCCAAACTATTTCCCCAGCCCCAGTCCTAGGGATTTAGTAAGGTGATGCACATTTGCAAAGCTATGTGCACAACTCCGTAAAGGTTCTGAACACATAGGTTGCCACAGAGGACTTATAGATGACAAACATATGACAAGATGGCTCAGCATCACTACCCATTTGAGAAATGCAATTTAAAACCATCATGAGATCCTACTATATACCTGTTAGAGTGGCTAAATTTAAAATCCCAATAAAGCACTGAAGAGGCTATAGAACAACTGAGAATGAAAAATGATACGGTTGCTCTGGAAAAGTTTTCCAATTTATTATAAAGTTAAATATAGACTTGTCACATGACTTTTCATTACCACGCCCAGATAAAGAAATTAAATCTATGCTTAACAAAAACTCATACATGAATGTTCCTAGCAACCTTATATTTCTATTTTCTAAAAACTGGAAATAACCCAAGTGCTCAAGGGGTGAATGAATATACAAACTCTTGTGCAGCCATATAATGGGAAATTATTCAGCAGTAATTTTGAGTGCACTACTGACAGATACAAAACTATAGATAAATCTCAAAGGTGCTTTGCTGAGCAGAATAAAAGTCTCAGAAAGTTACCTACAAAATGAGGTGAACTATAGGAAGAGAACAAACAACAGTTACCAGAGGCTCAGGACTATGGAAAGTATGACTACCAAGGGGCAGTACCAAAGAATTTCAGAGTGTGATGGAACGATGTATATCCTGATTATGGCAGTGATTATATTAGTCCATACAGATCTTAAGAGTCCTAGAAATGTGTGTTGCTATATGCACTGATTAAGATAGTAGCTATACAGGTGTAATACTTATCAAACACATAAAATTGGTGAATTTTATTGTGTAAATTGTCTCAAAAATGGCATTTTCCTTTATGAAAAAAGCATCTTTACCTCATTCCTACCTCTTAAAAATAACAACTTTTGATACTGACAGTTTAGTATATACCTACCTAGAACATGAGAATGCGTAATATAAAGCAATTTTCAGTTGTATAGATGAGGTCATTGTATGCATATATATTGTGCTTTATACTGCTTTTTAACTTGGGCATCTTGGGCAGAAA